CTGATTGGTGACCGATTGGTGACTGATTGATGCCTGATTTTTCACTTTTCGACCTGTGTAATGAGGAACTTCGCCAGTTTTCATGATTGCTAGATAAATATATTACGTAAGCATTTCTGTACTATACTTTATTTTTCGGCCATGTCCCCTTCAGACTATACCGTCAGTTTGTAACATTTTACTGTATTCAACATTCACAGAAATGTTGTTAGAAACACTGGACCATTTTCCAATTCACATAAATGCAAGATGAGTAACAAGAATGTAGAATAGAAATTTACATATGTATATGATATCATTTTCATTGTTGTAATATATCTACCTGCTAGGAATAGTATACAGTCTAACCTCGATATACCGATATTCGATATACCGATATACTATTAAAAACTTGATATACCGATAAAATTTTATTTTTCCACTATATGTGAGGACATATAAATATCGGTATAACTTTGATATAATGATATTTTCTAAAAATTTCATATATGTCCCGACATATCGTTATATAAAGGTTTGACTGTATACGTTTTTTTGTTGTGCGACTATGAACAAAAATTTTAATAAAAAATTCATGTACAGAATGGATAAGATTAGAAAGTTTGCGTTTTATTCATTTTTTTGTTCACAGAATAATTATGAACGGTCCTCTAATCGTTAATAGGCATCCGTAGTCCCATTTATTTTCACATCGTCAATAATTACAGTTTACCATTTTTATAATTAACTGATCAGGGACAATAGTGAAAACCTATTTGTCATCCCTTATATGTCACCAACCAATCAGAACGATAGGGGTAAATTAGTGAAAAACGAAAATGTTACACCGCCACAAAATAAGAAATAGCATAACCTTATGGAATATGTTATTTCCGTTTATATTTCCATAACCAGAATGAAATAGATATAAAATGCACCCATATTTTTCAATGATGTCGTCTATTTATTATTTCGTTAGTTGCGTTAACTCATACCTAGCTAGGTGACAAAGTGTATTTCTTTTTTTGTATTTTACAAAAAAAGCTATCCTTTATAGAATATAGTGTACACTTTGGAAGGCAATCTATATATTTAGGCGTAGCCCAGTCCAACTGAAATACCTACACTAATATAATGGCTTCTAACGATTTAAAAGATTATATAGTAACCCTGCAATGTTTGGTTGTTCCCAAGAAAATATACTGAGGCGTAGAATTTCAAACAGACTGACTATATTGATAATAGACATTTCTGGATTTTTATCCATCGGACACTTTAAAGAAACTATTTACGAAAAAAACCTACTGCGTTTACAAATGTTTTGGCAGATGATTTGGATCTTAGTTTAGTTAAAATTTCCTGTGAGGAACTTTTGGCATTAAGTAACGACCCAGATCCATATACTAAAATATTACCATCGAAAAAAAGAGAACTCTTGCCTGTAGAAGTAATTGCAAAAATATTTCCAAGAGACTCTCCGCCACCCTCCGAACATGTTCATATTCTAGTTGAACAACCAATATGTGGAAGCTCTGATGAATTCCAATATGAAATCCGGCCGAGAAGTGAAAATGACAAAATTTGGATAATAACTGCGTGCGTTTATACTACCCCAGAGACTTCTGTTGTGATAGACTCTCTCCTTCGACAAGAGATTCGACATGTTATGCACTGAAATATTGATAACTTTTTTGGTTCCATTTTTCCTATGTCACAGAGCCAAGCGTTAGTTATTGACGAGATTATGGAAAAATGTAAACAAGAAGAGAAATGGAATAATGAATGGATAGGATGGCCTAAAGATGGATCATTGGAAACCTAGTTTTATCAACCTGTTCTCAACTTGGTAAACTTTGTGATTCAACAGTGTAATAGAACTTCTGGTAAATTTGCAAGGACTGCGGTAGTTCACGCTAACTGCTGTCCGATACAAAATCGAATATGCGCAGTGGCTCGTAAACTAGATATCGTTTTAGTCGATTGTAGCAATGTCTAATGAAAAGAAGGGAAAC